CAATTATCAGAATGTAATTTGAACTGATAAGGAAGAAATGAAGGTTCAAGACATTTACAGTCTGTGTCGATCTATCATATTATCGAAATAACTCAAGCTGAACAACTCCCAAAACTAATGCTTGTCGACTAGTTAATTGATTGTCCTTCCAGGGTATTTACTCTTTAATACCAAAAATTCTTATCCATAGATCATCTTCAGACTCATCACTGAATAGATCATCATAGGAATCATCACTGAATAGATCACAAGGAAACTAACAGATATTACAATGCTCTTTATTTCATTTCCACGCTTCCACGATATCATGAAATACTAACGTGCTTGATTTGTAGTTCATGACCCATAAGAACATTAAATCATGTATGTTCATTAACGTTTCCAGACTCATTCAAATCACTTATTTAATCCTCAGTCATTGAGGTTACTTATTTCATTTAACAATCAAGTCTATCCCGGTTACGTCAGAGTTTTCCAGAGTAACTCGGAGATCTTCAGGTCAATTGTCTTCTCATAAGTTACCAACAGGTTATCAGGAATTTTATGTACAAAGACATGATCTTAACAATTAAATCCGTAATTTATCGAGTTAAGTACGAATCCTCAAAGTACTTTTTCATTCAGGGTCAACTCGGTCTATTTTTACCTCTCAATGGCATTTTCGTAATTTCTTAACCAGATAACTTTGGTATTAACTCTTAACGAAAATAATTAAAATTTAGAGATTTTATGGTTAATTGTTTTCCCGAACATTCTCTGATCTTGAAATGATTCCCTTAACAGACTTCTAGCATCTTGCATAAACCCTCGTGGTGTTAAAAACTAGTTATCCAAATCTTCTAAGTAAAACTATCATTTCTTATGCACATCTGTAATTTTTCCGGATCAATATGTCTTTTCAGAATTATTAACTAACTTCTAGGGACAATTCTTGTCATCTTACAACATAAGGGAATTTTCGTAATTTTACCCTATCGAAGTATTCTCATAATTTCCCATCCAAGTACCTTTGATGAAATAAATTATATGTTACAGATCCAAGTTGATTCCTTTATCACTAAACACATAACATGTAATTTTAATTCTAATAATCCCTTAATTTCTTATAAAAGGCATCTGAACCATAATCAGTTACTGAATTGTTATCGTATTCGGATCGAGTGTAGAAATTAATTAACTACGCATATGAGACCAATATTATATTATTCATGCATTTACCAAAATCAACATATTCCAATAAGCATAAAGAGGTAGTAAAGTATTACCTCGATTTCTGTGCCATACTGATCGACCAAATAAATTCCATTTGAATGCCCTCGATCTTTAATTCAACTTCCAATAATTCCTCAAATACATAACAATAAAAATTTCATCAAAAACTGGGCTTAATTCCAAAAAACGGATCGAATCGGATGATAAATCACTGAAAAACAGCTTATCGGGTTCGAATTTGGCGAAATGGACCCTAAAAAACAGACTCATAACATCAAAAAACGTCAGAATGGGTATACCCGGAAAAAGTCAACGGTCGTTCAATGGTCGGTCAAAGTTCTGGTCAACGTCGGTCAATGGGGTCAACGCTGGTCAACGGGTCGGGTCGGGTCAGTCAGTCGGGTAGGGTCGGACCGGTCAAACCGGTTTTCTTTCTTTTTTTCAACTGCCAGACGAAGCCCACTCTCAGGGGGTAGCGCTTGGGGAGCATGAACAGTGTTACAGTGTCCGAAAAATTTCTAAAAATTATTTTAAGACATTTTGAGACACTTACCAAGCTCGGTTCAAAATTTTGAATAGTGTAGAGCTCGATTCCGAAACATCGAAAACTTTAACTTCCTCACCCCTCCACGCGCCGGCGACGACGGAGACATGAGGACACCGGTGGACTCAGAACGATGCAAGGAACATAATGGTGCGGGAGGTGTCGAAAACGAGTGGCCGGATTGACCTGAATCGGCGAAAAACCAACGGAGATTGAGTTAAAACCGTCAATACTTCAGGTTGAAATTTACGACAAACGACGCCGATTCACGACGAGAGGTTTGAGGGGTTTTTTCTTCGTTCGATAACGAACACGATGGTGGTTTCGGTTTCGTCAAACGGTGGTCGGATGGTGAGTAGATCGAAGTGGAAATGAGGGTCAACGAAGAAGGGAAATGGGGAATAATTCTGCAAAAACATACATGAAATGGGGAATAATTCTGCGGAAACATAGGGAAATGGGGTTTATATTTCTCTCCAAAATAAAAATGGTTAAACTATGAGTTTAGTCACTAAATTTCTTGCACTTCCTAAAATAGTATGCTAACTTTGAAATTTTACAATTTAATCCTCAATTTCTTCCAAAATACCAATTAAATCCAATACTTTAAAATTTATAAATTTTAGCCCCTAAATTGGGGTGTTACAAGGTTAATCTAATAACGAATCATTTAAGGACTAAACTAAAATTAACAAAATAATTTAGGGGTCAGATTTTAATAAGGCATACTAATCAGTTAGGTAACCCAATTAGAACAAACCGGAATTAAGCATGAAAATTCCGGAATTATGACAGAGACATAAGTGTAAATACACGCTAAAATTTGAGTGACTAAAACATAATTATTCCAATTTTATAAACCCAAAATGCTCTAATATGCAAAATCTCTGTAATTACAAAATACCTTGGGATATAATATTCTCTCTTTTTTTCTATTTTGTTCCTTTCGAATTCTTAAAAGCATGCACACTTCGAAATACACTGAAAAATACCTTGAAATGCTTGCTTTGTATTCTCTGATGATTAGGGTTACAATCGTTTCTTTTTGGGCTAAACACTAAATCTAATCCTATTTCCATTTCTTTCGTTTTTGTCTCATATATTGAATGGATAAAATCTTTTATTTTGAGGGTAAAATTTTAATGAGAGCGTAAAAGAGTCAAGGGAATTGATGAGAAGAAATATTTTGCAAACAATTACAATCAAAATATCAAATTTAGTAAAATGCAATGTTAAGGGTCTAAATAAAAAAAGAGTACGTTTTTAGTAAAAAAAAACTAAGAATTGAAGTTACATAGGTACTCCATGGTGGTATATGAGTATGTAGTTCAAACTTGGTAAAAACAGACTTAAAATAAAGGATGAATAAAAGAAATAAGGAAATTATGAAAATTTGAAAAATTTGTTATCAAAGAGAGGAATTGAAAGTACATATGTATTCTAGATGATTTAGGAGCATGTGGTTCAAATTTAGTTAAAAATAGACTTTAAATGAAGGATGAATTGAAAGAATAATGAAATCAATGACTATATCGTAAAATTTTCAAAATAAATAGTCAAATTTTTGTTTTTTGAGTAACTTCAAATTTCAAAATTTCAACTTGACTAGAACTCGAAAATCGAATTGATAATTTGAGTTGACTCGAATAATTCGAATAACTCGACTCAAATAACTTAAAATGAAAAAAAATCGATTTTTCGAGTTGAGTTTTACTCACCTCTGTGTCATTATTTTGGAACATATAATAATGTTAGGAAATATGATAGATTATAGATATTTTAGAGTTACTTGCACATTTGATATATCTAAAGAAAATTTTGATATTAATCTGTTATGATATTAAAAAAAGATATTTATAAATTAATATATTTGTGATTAAAATAATACAAATTCGATTGGATGAGAATTGTTTGTAATGCAATATAAATAATTGTTGAGAACTCGTTTTATCCGTACTAGTATGAAGATTTTACTATTATATTTAAATGATGTATTATTTATTCTCGTATATTTGATATTTTAATTTTTTTACTTCTTACTTAGGCTTTTCTTCTTCTTAATTTTATAATAAATATTTATTAATTTTAATATTTTTATTTTTACTATTTTTATTTAATAAATCCTACTAATAATTAATGGTATTTTATATTTTAAATTTTAAATATTTGTTTTTTAAAATCAAATAAGCCCTTTAAAAAACAATTTGACCCTCAAACTTAAAAAAAAATTACCCTATCTACCACGTCATTAGTCATGTCACCAGTCACCATGAACTGTCACATCAGCACAATGGATCACCACATCAGCATCATAAAGTGTTACATCAATTTCGTAATAGTTAACGACAAAAATCATTGGTCAAAAGGCAACATAATATTCTTATTCTAAGTTCGAGGGCAACATTGAGTGCAAAAACTTCAAGTCACTTTGATTTTTTTAGAAAAGTATGGCCTCAAGTACCCTTTTACCATAGAAAAAACTATTATATACAAAATGATCAAACTTTGATATGAAAATCAGACATTTTAGGGTAAATTACGCGTTTAGCTCCTAAACTATCAATTTTGATCTATTTTAGTACCTAAACTTTTAATTTTTTCAAAACCATACCTAAAGTTTTTGTTTTTGTGTCATTTTAGTACCGATCAAAATTTAATTTTAAATTTTGGGGAAAAAATAAATTTTAGGTACTAAAACATACCAAAACTAATAGTTTAGGTACTAAACGTGTTAAGTTTTTAACAGTATGACACTAAAATGAAACAAAAACTAAACATTAGGTATGATTTCGGAAAAAAAATAAAAGTTTAGGTACTAAAAGGGACCAAAAGTGATAGTTTAGGTACTAGATGCATAATTTGTCCTACATTTTATGCATACGAATCATGTTGTATTACAACATGCTATAGCCTATTCAGTTTATTCCTTCTGTCTTTTGAAAAACAAGGAAAAATCTCTACTCAAATAATCAATCACAAAGCACCTCCACCACCAACAATTTCACATATAACATGATCCGAAAATAAGTGTAGCCCCACATGCCATTTACAGCAGATTCAGAGGAAATAATATTTTTACATGACATACTGCTTTCAGCAACTATGAAGGTTTTCCGATCAACGTACGGCATTGCAAACCATCTTTTATGCAACTTGCACTAGCTTATCCGCGAATGAAGAAACTAATGGCATGCTCATCAATACATTTACTGTAATGCACAGACCAGTAGGTGCTAGCCTTTAAAATGACATCAAACCTTTTTCTGTTTACTTTTTCTGTGCTTCTTTCATCTTATCTATCAACTTTCAAAAGTTTAAAGGGATGAAAGCGCAAAGATACTATCTTCACAGATCGACAACTCCTTTATACAACGAAGAAAATGAAACCCGAAACCAAACCATTGACAAATAAGAAGAGCAGGCACTAAATATATGATGATAAATGTAACCTTTTCAGCAAATTTAATCTGAAGCAGCTAAAGCCGAATCCACCACCAAGAAACTAGTCAGCGGGCAGGTCGAATCATTTCCTACATCATAAGAGAATAAGATTCCTCTTGTTATGCCCTTTGGTTACATACGATAAACCTATTGACTTGTAAGGGATGAAAATAGATTTGAGATCAACCTTATCACACACACGGCATGTGTCACTCCTTTCCATCCATTCAAGAATACCTGCAAGGTGAAAATGGTGCTCACATTTTGTTATAATTTTTGGATTTTCTGCATCATACTCTGCAGGACAGAACATGGAAAGGACCTATCAACATCCTTTTTTTCTACTTGAAAGTTGAAGCACAAGTTAGCAGAAAAAAATCAGTCTTTTTTGGCAGAGGTAGAGAAAAAAAATCATAAATTACATGGGGAAGACTGTTATGGATTGAGAATGAAGGAGAAGAAATTATCGAAGAATGAGGGTTTTAGAAGAAGAAGGAAAGGAGATTACAAAAAATGATTTCTCATTCATTCATTTCATGCCTCTCTTTTCTTAGTACAGTGTATTATTCATTCACAATGTACCAAACAAGGAATGACAGTTGGCAGTCTTTCTAACGGTTGCAATCTTTGGTGCAGATGTCAAGGAATTTTCCACTCTGTTAGGCTACTGCTTGTATCAACCCAAAACTTATCTCATCTGTCTCCATTTCATCAGGTAAAATCTCCAATTCATCATATGTTCTCATTTCCCCCAATTCATCATTCAAAATCCCTAATCCATTCCCATCTTTTCATCCTAACATTCCCCGAATTTCCCAATTCATTCTCTTCGTGATTTTCTCCTTCTTCTCGCCCAACCATAACAATACCCCCTCCATGAAACGATCATTGTCCCCAAGGATCAAACTGAGGAAATTATCTTCGGAGGATCGTGTAATCTTCCCAAGTGTCATGGCTATAATCGAGGGCTTGTAACCATACAAAGCCTCAAAAGGGGTTAATTTTAAAGTCGTGTGGTATGTGGTATTGTACCACCATTCGGAATGGAATAGACATTTAGCCAGTGAGTTGGTTTAAGAAAACAGAGACCTCGAAGAAATTGTTCTATGCATTGGTTAATCCGTTCGGTTTGTCCGTCGATCTTGGGATGGTGGGACGTACTGTAGAACGTAGAGGTACCCAAATTCTTCATCATGTCATGCCAAAATAAACTGATGAATGTCTTATCCCGGTCTGAGATGGCCATATTCGATTGGCCATGTAATTTATAAACGTGATCTAGATATAAACGAGCCATTCCATAGCTGTATAGGGATAAGACAAGGGTAAAAAATGGGCGTATTTTGTGAACTTGTCGACCATGACCAAGATGCAATTTTTCTGATTGGACTTCGGTAACCCATCTATAAAATCCATTGTGATGATCTCCCAAGCCTGATTAGGAACTGGTAGGGGTTGTATCTGACCGTTTTAGGAATGTGCTTGACCTTTATACGTTGACAAGCATCACATTTTCCAACGTAGACAACAACCATTTTTTTAAGACCAGACCAGTAGAAGTGAGCTTTAATTCTTTGATACATCGCTTGAACCCTCGAATGACCTCCTTGGGAAGAGTCATTTAAGTTGCTTAGAATTTGTAAGTGTAGATCACCTTTGGAGCCAACATACACTCAACTTTGGTAACATAGAATTCCCCCTGAATACTTCCAGTTACTGTCACTATGTGGATGCACGGATAAGACACAGATCCATTCGTTTGCTAATAAATCATCTTCATAAGTACCTTCAATTTTATGGACCCAACTAGCAATAATAGAAATTGCCCCAATATAATTGTTCTCAGCAAAATACTTAAATCGTCTTGAAAATGCATCGACCACTGTGTTATTCTTCCATTTTCTGTATTGAATAATATAATCTAGCCCAAGTAATCTAGTCAAACCCCTTTTTGGATAGTAGTCATCAAGTTTTGCTCCAACAAATATTTTAGTGACTTGATCCGTTTTTATCAAAGGCATTGCTGCAACGCATCCTCCGACCATTATAGCTTGAACCAAGTTACTTAGTCGTTGTTCTTTTACCTCGATAGGTAGTAAATCATCAATTTCCTTCTCAACTTCAAATATTGTCTCATCAATAGAGACATCAAAATTTCCCATGCTTGAAGCCATTTGAATCGTTGATGCTTTCAGTTCATTTAATCCCCTAGCAGCAGGTTCTTAGTAAACCAGTGGACTCTGCATTTGTTAATAGGCTTCTCGCATGCTGTCGTACACTTGTCTTAAGCTTACATTATTATTCATATATTTGCGGGTTGTCGCTACTATTCTATTTCGAAGCAATTGATCCTTCAATGTAACCAAGCTTTTAGTATGCATAGGAGACTGAGGAATGACACCCTTTGCCGGAGGGATGCCAATAAGACCACATAATATCGTCAAAAATCCAAGAAGTAAGTCATAATGGAAAGAAGATGGTTTCCTCATGATGAATTCCTTCTGCCTACACTGTGATCAAAATAATACAGGACAACGATCATAGTTGCTAGAATGAAAGCTCCGATTATATAGAGCATCAGAACCTTTAACATGTCCTTAAACTTGACTTGGCCGTGATGAGTCCGAAACACTATCTTGTGGGTATCTTGTGGTTGGATACGGATTTTCCAATTGCCCGAGCGTAAGTCTATTTTGGAAAAAAAATTGCCCTATGTAATTCATCCAAAAGGTCCTCAACAACTGGAATTGGGAATTTATTCTTGATCGTCTGGTTGTTTAGTTGTCTGTAATCAACACAAAAGCGCCAATAACCATTTTTCTTCTTAACCAGCAAATAGGGAAAAGCAAACGAACTTTTTCTTGCTTGAATTATAGAGGAAGTCAACATCTTAGTGATCTGTTTTTCACCTCATTTTTTTATGATGCGTGAAGCGATAGGGTCGTAAATTGGCTAGAATGAAGCCTGGTATGAGAGTGATTGGATGGTCATGAGCCTTGATAGGAGGCAGACCCGTAGGCTCATCAAAGATACTGTCAAACTCTTGTAATAAAGGCTCTAATTCACTGGGAACTATTGAAGCAACAGGGTCCACATCGAGTACATATAATTCGTCCATTAAAGAAGAATCATTTGCTATCATTTTTTGCATTTGTTTCCTGGTATTGATTTCCAATTACCCATCGTAGTCTGACCTTGTATAATCATCAGTTTGCCATCCTTTTGAAAGCTCGAAGTCATGTCTTTATAGTCCATAAGAACTGGACTAAATTGCTTCATCCAATCGACACCAAGCACCATATCACTCCCACCAAGTTAAAGGATTCGAAAGTCATGATTAAAATGGAATCCTTGTATTGTCCAAGACACTTGATTCGATCTAGTGAACTGAAGACTTTCTCCATTAGCAACTATTATTGTTAAAGGTTGAGTGGAAACCATTTCGAGACCCTCATTTAAGTCACTAACAAAAATTGACACTAAGAAATCCTCTCGCAATGTAGGACTTTGAATCAGAATATAGGGCTTAAGTTCTTCAAACTTATCTTGGTACTCGTCAACAGAACATTTTTTAAACAACTTACTAAATTCCTCCATAATTTTCTGAAAAGTTTTGTCGTGAAAACTATGACATATATCAGCTTCAAATTCATGCCATAAGACCCGATGTTTTTGCAAAATATAGCCATCAAACCAAGTTTTGGCCTTACCTCCCAAAAGCATTACAGCCATCGCCACTCGTTCTTCAGCAGTAACTCTATAAAATGGAAAGAAATTGATGCACTTTTGGATCCATCCCTTTGGATTTGTCCTTCAAATATAGGTAATTCTATTCGAGGTCTTGTTGTCACTGATCTGAGACTCCCAAAGGACCCCCGTCGTTCATCAACAAGGGCTCCTTGTGATATCTTTGTTCCACTGCAATCACCCAACTTCAAATCTGCTTTCGGCTTTTGAGGTGGTTCATCTGGTTTGGACTTTAGAATTCCAGGTTCCTCCGGTTGGTAAGTAAAGCCTGATTTTTCATTGATTATTGCCACATCCGCCGGTTGCTTACCATCGGGTTTTGAAGGTTCAGGAGTCTTCATCTGTTGACTATCGGGGCTTTCTGGTTCCTGCCCGCCTTCTTACCGATTAAAATACTCAAAATTTACTCAACGTACCTTTGAGTAGTGTTCATCCTAGACTCCAACTAACTGATACGTTTATCTTGTGCCTCCCACCACTTGGGAAGGTTGGTTTCATCATTTGCTTACTGCACTGTTTTTTTAAATCCTCAATCTGCTTTGTTGAAAACATTTTGATGTTTCGATATAACAAATTAAGTATAAATGAATTTTAAGATTTTACAAATGATTTTCTAAGTATATTCGATTTAATTACTCGAATATCAAATTATTACTCCAAGTCTTCAAGATCAATTTTAAACCTTACTAAATGTGTAAAATTGTGTTTTATACTTAATATATTTTGAAACAATTTTCACAAAGTATTTTGAACCAAAATCAAGCCTAAAATCAATTTTTCAAAGTGATGCACCGATGCACCATGGAATAAATTGAACATCGAATGCATTTCATGCATCGATGCACATACTATGCATTGATGCACTCAGAGTTTTATGAAAACATTAAATGCATTTGATGCATCGATGCACCAGCCATGCATCGATGCACTCAGGCTATTTTAAAACATCGAATGCATTTTATGCATCGATGCACTCTTAGTGCACTGATGCACTAAGGGTCCAACGGTCAAAATATTTGAATTTTACACTTGATGCACCGATGCACCTTGGGTATGCAACGATGCACACACGCTCCCAACTAATTTAATTAATTGTTTTCACACTTAAACGGCTCTATTGACTCCACTAATCATCCCCAACATTCAAAATCATTTAAAGGAGTATTTAAACAAGCTTAGAAGCCATTGATCAACAACAAGAAAACACAAGAAACAAGAATCAAGAGAGAATCAAAGAGAAAACATCAAACCTTAAGTTTGAGCATTTCAAGTCTATTTTTCATTCAATATTCATTTTGCTTTCAAGAACACTACTTGTACTCAATTGTATTCATTTTTTAGTTTTTTTTCTTTGTTCTAGAATTGTGCAAGCAATCTACCTTGTGAGGATTTCCTTGTAAGTTTACAAATTTGTAATCTTCTCTTTGAGAAAGAGTGTTCTCAAGAATTGGGTTATATTCTTGAGGGAGTTGTAAGGTTATCTCTTTGGCCTCAAAAGAAAGAACAAATTAGTAAATTTGTTGGAAAATCCTTAGTGTGGATAGCTAAGGTAGTGGACGTAGACTTTGGTTGAGAAAGTCAAACCACTCTAAATCGCTATGTAAATCTTTTCAATTTTCTGCAAAAGCTTCCACCAAAATTTTAATTCTCAATTCAACCCCCTCTTGGCCAATTCAATCGATTGATTAACTCAACAATTGGTATCAGAGCCTCACTCATTTGAAGTTTTAATCTTCTCTTAAGTCGATTAGGGATGAGTTACATCGATTATCAAGTCATCAATGGCCTCTACTTTAAATGTCGACTCCAGTCATGATTCGATGCCCATCAACAAGCCTCATTTCTTCAATGAAGCTAACTATGCCTATTGGAAGAGTAGGGTGATGTTTTTCATTCAAGCAAGTGACATGGGAGCATGGAATGTTGTAGAAGACGGATATATCAAGCCTCTCACTCATCCAAGATTGTGGAGTGAAGGAGTGACAAGAATGTTCCAGCTCAACTCCAAAGCCATCTATATCATATTTTGTGCTCTTGGACCAGATGAATATGGAAGAGTTTCATCTTGTACAACCGCCAAAGAAATATGGGATAAACTATAAGTCACTCATGAAGGCATCGACGAGGTAAAAGAATATAAAATTAGTCTTCTAACACATAGCTATAAAAATTTCATGATGAAACCAAATGAAGATATCAAAGCTATGACGGATAGATTCTCAACGATTTTCAATGGTCTCAAGTCATATGGAGAGATCATTCCAAACGAAAAGCTTGTGAGGAAGTTAGTTTACTCACTTCCAAAATCATGGAAATCTAAGTAGACGGCAATCATCGAGGCTAAGAACCTAAAGTCCTTAACTCTTGAAGAGCTAATTGGTTCCCTCCTTACTTATGAAATGATGCTTGAAGATGAGGTGGACCTCGATAAGATTGACAAGACACCGAAGGAGAAGAAGAAGAAGAAAAACATTGGAGTTTCTCTCAAATCCACAAAAGATGAGAGTGATTCGGATGAAGATGATGATGACGAGGAAATGGCATTATTTTCCAAACTGTTCAGAAAAATGATGAGACCTTACCGAGGAAGAAAATTCAAACAAAATGAAGGCCTCAAAAATGAACCAAAAGAAAATGACCCTATCATTTGCTATGAATACAAAAAGACGGGCCATGTCAAATATGATTGCCACAATTGAAGAGAAAGGGTCAATCAAAGAATAAGCACAAGGCTCATGTGGCTACATTGAGAGATAGAGAAGGTTCCGATGAAGAGGAACAAGAAGTAGCAAACTTGTGCTTGATGGCATTCGGGGAAGGTTCTAAGGTAACCTCTAACTCTTTTGAATTAGATGATTTATCTTATGATGAGTTATTAGAGGAATATAATGGGTTGACTTCGGATTATGAGAAATTATTTTTAAAATATAAAAATGATGTTTCAAAATTGAAAAATGAAAATAAGCTCATATCCAAAACCAACAATGATTTTGAAAGTAAAATTAGTGATTTGTAAATCGAACTAAAAGAGTTTGAAAAGAAAAAATTAGATTTGTAAAATTTCTTTCAAAGGTCAATGATGATCGTCAAAAGAAAATTGATGGTCTTAAAACTTCTTTTAATAGAGTTAGTACAAAACGTTTTGAAAAAAGGAGAAAATTCAAAAACCAACTTTGTTAGAAAAAGTTTTAAAAACTACAATCATAGAGGTCCCCGAAGAACCTCTAATAGAAAAATCGTTAGAAGTATATGGGTTCCTAAAGAACTCATTACTACTAAAGATAAGGATATCCTACACAAATGGATACCTAAGGGGACTAGGATTTTGGAAACTAATGAATGTGGACCCAAAAGAATTTGGGTACCAAAAATCAAAAATTAATCTATGTTTGTAGGAAAAGGAGCATTGCTACAAGGCACGGGAAACAAATTCAAACTCATAGTACCTTGATAGTGGATGCTCAAGACACATGACCAGAGACAAAAGCCGGTTCATAGAGCTTAATGCCAAAAATGGAGGAGAAGTGACTTTTGGTGATAATTCAAAAGGTCACATCGAAGGTATAGGTACAATAGGTAATACCTCTTCCATACAAATTAAAAATGATATATATGTGAATGGATTAAAGCATAATCTCTTGAGTATTAGTCAATTATGTGATAAGGGATTCAATGTCATGTTTGAAACTAATGGTTATAAAGTTATTGACATTGCATAAAATCATATTATGCTTGTTGGTCATAGAATATGAAATATTTACATGGTGCAATTAGATTCTATAGATATGACTAATTTATGCCTCGTTGCTAGGGATGAGCATGATAGTTGGTTATGGCATAAGAGACTAGGACATGCTAGTATGAGTGTTTTGCAACGACTAATTCAAGGAGATTTAGTTCGAGTGTTGCCTAAATTAAAATTTGATAATGATAAAATCTGTGAAGCTTGTGCTAAAGGAAAAAAAGCGAGTTTCTTTTAAATCCATTAATGATGTATCAACTAGTAGAGCATTGCAATTGATACATATAGATCTTTTTGGGTCAACTAGAACTACTAGCTTGGGTGGAAAACAATATGTATTTGTCTTGGTAGATGACTATTCTAGATATACTTGGGTTCTATTTTTAAGTCCTAAAGATGAAGCATTAGAACATTTCATCACATTTTCAAAAATAATCCAAAATGAAAAAGGCTACTCTATAACTAGTGTTAGGAGTGATCATGACACTGAATTTGACAATCTTGGATTTACTGAGTTTTGTAATTCTAATGGTATTAGCCATAATTTTTCAGCACCTAGAACCCCTCAACAAAATGGAGTTGTTGAGAGGAAAAAACGAACTTTAGAAGAAATGGCTAGAACCATGCTTTGTGAAAATAATTTGCCAAAATATTTTTGGGCGGAAGCCACAAATATCGCTTGTTATGTTGTAAATCGAGTAATGATTAGGCCGATTTTAAAGAAAACACCATATGAAATTTTCAAAAATAAAAAGCCTAACATTAGCTATTTTCATCCTTTTTGATGTAAATGTTTTGTTTTAAACAATGGTAAAGAAAACCTTGGCAAATTTGATGCTAAAAGTGATGAAGGAATTTTTCTGGGTTATTTCTTAAATTCTAAAGCTTATCGAGTATTTAATAAAAGAACTTTAGTTGTATAAGAGTCTATATATGTTGTTTTCGATGATAATCCCCTTCCGATAAAGGATTCTTGTGTGAATGATGATGTAGGCATTATAAATATAAATGACGTTAGAGAACCATCATCAAAGGAAGAAACGAAAGATGAGGAAACTCAAGATCCTCTTGAGAATCCAACCATTGAAGAAAGGGAAGTATCTTACCCAAGGAAATACAACTATGTCAAGGATGGTGAGATTATAGGTGATCTATCCAAAGGGGTAACAACTCGATCTTCTCTTAGAAATATATGTAATTATGCTGCATTTATCTCATGCATAGAGCCTAAGAATATTAAAGAAGCATTAAATGATGAACATTGGATTATGGCTTTGCAAGAAGAGTTAAATCAATTTGAGAGAAGTAAAGTATGGACATTAGTTGAAAGGCCTAGTAATAAATCCATTGTAGGTACTAGATGGGTATTTAGGAATAAGCTTGATGAAAGTGGTAATATAGTGAGAAACAAGACTAGACTTGTTGCTCAAGGGTATACTCAAGAAAAGGGCATAGACTATGATGAAACATATGCTCCCGTAGCTAGGATGGAAGCAATTAGAATGTTATTAGCATTTGCATGTTTTCATGAATTTAAATTATATCAAATTGATGTTAAAAGTGCATTTTAAATGGTTTTAAAAGAATAAGTGTATGTGGAACAACCTCCTAGTTTTGAAGAATTAAAATTTCCAAATCATGTTCTTAAATTGACAAAAGCACTTTATGGTTTAAAACAAGCCCCTAGAGCTTGGTATGAAATATTGTCAAATTTTTTAATTGAAAAAGGTTTTTTTTAAAGGAAAGGTTGACACTACATTGTTTTTAAAGCATAAAGGTAAAGATTTATTAGTAGATAAAATTTATGTTGATGATATAATATTTGGTTCTACTAATGATGTTCTTTGCCAAGAATTTTCTAAGCTAATGCAAAGTGAATTTGAGATGAGCATGATGGGGGAGCTCTCATTTTTCTTGGGACTCCAAATCAAGCAAAGAAAAGATGGCATCTTCATCAATCAAGCTAAGTACGTCAAAGATATGCTCAAGAAGTTTGGAATGAAAAATGGGAAACCTCATGACACTCCAATGAGCTCATCAACAAAGCTTGACATAGATAAAGGAGGTAAATGTGTGGATGTTTAATTATATAGGTCAATGATTGGCTCTTTGCTTTATCTAACTGCAAGTAGACCGGACACTATGTTTAGTGTTTGCTTATGTGCTAGATTTCAATCATGCCCTAAGGAATCACATTTACTAGCTGTTAAGAGAATCTTTAGATACCTTCAGGACACTCCTAGATTAGGACTTTGGTATCCTAGAGACTCTAGCTTTAGCTTGCATGCCTTTTTTGATGCGGATTATGGAGGATGCAAATTAGATAGGAAAAGTACCTCCGGTACTTGCCAATTCCTTGGAAATATATTGATTTCTTGGTTTTTAAAGAAACAGAATTGTGTTGCATTATCTACCACTGAAGCATAATACATTTCAGCTGGTAGTTGTTGTGCACAAGTTTTATGGATGAAACAACAATTTTTTTATTATGGAATTGAAGTATGTACTATTCCTATCAAGTGTGACAATACTAGTGCTATTTGTCTCACTAAAAATCCCATCCAACACTCTAGAACTAATCACATTGAAAGTAGACATCACTTCATTAGAGACCATGTCGCTAAGGAAGATGTAGTTCTAGAATTTGTTGATACTTTGCATCAATTAGCGGATATCTTTACAAAACCTTTAGACAAAGAAAGATTTTGGACACTTATGAGAGAATTAGGTTTAACTGACCTATCTTCACTTAGTGTTTAAAATATTTTTAGCACTTTTAAGAAAAAATGAAAATTACTTATAATAATAATTTTTGATTGCATTCTTGGGAGTTTATGCTCTTTGGTGAAAATTAATTTTATGTTCAAATATAGTTTAAGGATTAATTTGATTGATTGAACATGATTAATTTTCATTATATGAGTTGCCAATACAACTAGAGCTAATTAATTTAGCATTTTGAGTGTTTAAAACAACTTTTTGACATTTTTGTGCTTAATGCATCGATACACCTAACAGTGCATCGATGCATCCTTGAATGTGCATCGATACACCATGAAGGTGCACCGATGCAGTCCTTGAATGTGCATCGATGCACAAGGTTATGCATCGATGCATCGATCGGGTTTTTGGGTTTAAAAGGCTTATTTTCTTATTTGTTTTAAACCCTAAAAACTAAACCCTCTAAGTCATACATCTCTATTCATCTCTAAATTCTCCTCTTGCTCCAAAATCAACGTTTTTAATCAAAATCTTCGAGTTTTTCATCTCCATATCCTACTACTATCATTAAAGCGTGCAATACAACACCTCATTCTCATCAATCCGAAATTTTCAAGGTATTTTTCTAAAAACTTCTAGTTTATCATATTTTGATCTTAGGACTAGTTTTAATTAGTTCTAGGATGAACATTATATCGGGCATCGATTGTTTGATAATTTCAAACTAGATTTTACAACCAATTTCATCAAAAACTCACAAATTTTCAATGAATTTTGAATTTTTGAAATTAAAAAAAAATTGAAAATCTGAATTTAATTTTTAAATTTGATGTTTTTGATTTAATTATGTTGTTTTCATGAATGATTTTTCAAAAATTATTTTGAAATAGTTTTCAAAACCTTGCCCATTAGGATTCGGTTTAGAGAACCTTGAATTATTGAGAACTCAATTGAGTTTTGGGATTGATTATTGTGCATACATATGTTTCAAATTGCAGGTTTCAATCTTATTCTGATACCTTAACCATGTCCAATCCTAAACGTCCTAGGACTTCATCGAGTCGTTCAACCCGACCTCCTAATCCTGTACCACCTCCACCTAATATTCTTATAGGATCCTGCTTTAATATGCTTGAACGTCGTATAGACGACTTGTACTCTAGGTACATAAATTCTTTCCAATCCTATAGAATCCGAGAAGAGTGTATTCCTTCTCTTCAAGCCATGATAGATATTGACTTCGAATACCTTTCGATTCTTAAAACTTGGAAGTTTGATAAAATGTTTCACCTCAAACCTATCGTCTATCATCAGTTAGTTCGTATTTTCTACTCCAATGCGGTATGCATTCAAAACCAAACTCAATGTGGGACTATAGCAATTAGATCATATCTTTTAAGCCAATATATTAATATTGACCCCGAGACTATAGCTCTCCGTTTTGGGCTAGATGATGATGGGTTATATAATGAGAATGAAACTGTGGAATATCCCTATGTTCCAAACTCTAGTGTTAGTACTCTATGATCTCATCACGATCGTTTTCTTCATTTGATGATCTCTAGGTGGTTTAGACCATCCAGAGATAGGTACTCCACTCTTCGTACTAGGGATTTATGGTGGATGCACTGTATCAAGAATAAGAACAAAATAAATCTGCCCCACATTATATTTAGAAATAGTGGATATCATAAAAATTGTTCCTTTAAAACATGTCGAAATATTAGTTTAGGGATGTCTTCTTAGTAACCTTTTTATCAAACTCGGTCTAAACGTCTCTCTCGACAATCTCATCCCTCTCCAAAATAAAATCAATCTCACCTCGTTGAAGAAAGCGGATTAGAAGCAATACGAGGAAACTGGTCTTTGGGTCTTTCGACCCGGTAAGCAAACTTCGGGAGCGAGTTCTTCACGAGCTGCTCCTACCTCATCGTGCTCCTCCTCCTCCGGTACCGGCTGCTAACGATGATCCCGAGTTTCAACAACTCATGCAAGATATCGCAATCACGTACCAGATGATGAGCCTGCACCGGAACAAGCTCCACAAGAGGATCAAGTACCTCCATATTTTCGTTCGATTTTGTAAACATTTGATCTACGGTATGCTTCCATCGAATCCCACTTGACTCTACACACGAAGCGGTAAATCATCGCTTAGACACTTTGGAAGCTCGACAGATAAAGTTTCAAAGGGAGATACTTGCACGTATGGATGCTCTCTCTCTTGAGATGCAAGCACGATTTTCTCCTCCTCCCGATCCTCCGATAGAGTAGATCTATCCTTGTTATGCTTTCTTGATTTTAAAACTTGGATTGATTTTGATGTTTCTGGAGTGTTTGTTTTGGTTTGTTAAATGTTTGAATTTGTTAAGAGTTGGATGAGTGGATGTTTGAACTTAATATATATATATATTGGTTTGATTGAATTTTCTTATTTTTTCATCATTAGACATATATGACCAATTATGTCATTTCACATTTGATTATGAATATTGTTTATGAAAGCTAATGGCTAATCTCTCTTTTGATCTTTGATCTTAGCAGCTTAAGCTATATATATATGTATATATATATATATATATTTAATCAATTGGTTATGTTTTTCAAAACCTTGTTTAGAACGTTTTAAAGTCTTTTTGATTTAACAAAAAGGGGGAGAAGTGTAAAAGTGTTACAGGGGAGAAGTGTTAGAGTAAGGGGGAGTAATTTTTCAAAATTTATTTTCAAAGAAAATCTTAAAATTACACACATGTTTTATTATATCAAAAAGAGGGAGATTGTTGAAAATATTTTGATGTTTTGATATAACAAATTAAGTATAAATGAATTTTAAGATTTTACAAATGATTTTCTAAGTTTATTCGATTTAATTACTCGAATATCAAATTATTACTCCAAGTCTTCAAAATCAATGTCAAACCTTACTAAATGTGTAAAATTGTGTTTTATACTTAATATATTTTTGAAACAATTTTCACAAAGTATTTTGAACCAAAATCAAGCATAAAATCAATTTTTCAAAGTGATGCACCGATGCACCAATCCGTGCATCGATGCACCATGGAATAAATTGAACATCGAATGCATTTCATGCATCGATGCACATACTATGCATCGATGCACTCAGAGTTTTATGAAAACATCAAATGCATTTGATGCATCGATGCACCAGCAATGCATCGATGCACTCAGACTATTTTGAAACATCGAATGCATTTTATGCATCGATGCACTCTTAGTGCACTGATGCACTAAGGGTCCAACGGTCAAAATATTTGAATTTTACACTTGATGCACCGATGCACCTTGGGTATGCATCGATGCACTGACGCTCCCAACTAATTTAATTAATTGTTTTCACACTTAAACGACTCTATTGACTCCACTAATCATCCCCAACGTTCAGAATCATTTGAAGGAGTATTTAAACAAGATTAGAAGCCATTGATCAACAAAAAGAAAACACAAAAAACAATAATCAAGAGAGAATCAAAGAGAGAGAATCAAAGAGAAAGCATCAAACCTCAAGTTTGAGCATTTCAAGCCTATTTTTCATTCAATATTCATTTTACTTTCAAGAACACTACTTGTACTCAATTGTATTCATTTTTTAGTGTTCTTTTATTTGTTCTAGAATTGTGCAAACAATCTACCTTGTGAGGATTTCCTTGTAAGTTTGCAAATTTGGAATCTTCTCTTTGAGAAAGAGTGTTCTCAAGAATTGGGGTATATTCTTGAGGGAGTTGTAAGGTTATCTCTTTGGCCTCAAAAGAAAGAACAAATTAGTGAATTTGTTAGAAAATCCTTAGTGTGGATAGCTAAGGTAATGGACGTAGACTTTGGTTGAGAAAGTCGAACCACTCTAAATCGTTTTCAAATCTTTTCAATTTTCTGCAAAAGCTTACACCAAAATTTTAATTGCCAATTCACCCCCCTCTTAGCCAATTCCATCGATCGATTAACTCAACATGCTTTTTGATGGCAGAGAGATCAATAGATTCGACCATAGTTTGGTTCTTCTTTTGCATATTCAGTCTGCAATTTGCCAGGAATTAAGGCTCTGATACCATTGTTATGGATTGAAAATAAAAGAGAAAAAATTATCGAAGAATGAGGGTTTTAGAAGAAGAAAGAAAGGAGATTACAGAAAATGATTCTCATTCATTCATTTCATGCCTCTCTTTTCTTAGTATAGTGTATTATTCATTCACAATGTACTAAACAAGGAATGACAGCTGACAGTCCTTTCTAACGGTTGCAATCTTTGGTGCAGGTGTCAAGGAATTTTCCACTCTATTGGGCTACTGCTTATATCAACCCAAAACTTATCTCATCTGTCTCCATTTCATCAG